AAGCACCTTTGATTTCTTAGATAAACTTGTAGAGCAGGCAAAAATCAATTTATCTACTAATTTTGAAGTTTATACTATTAGTCAAAATGGCAATAATCACATGACCCGGATTTAAACACTCCGTGTACAAATAGAAATTGCCTTTATATATTATTAATCAATTATACAGTATATATATCAATAGTAAAAATATGAATTTACTATCATTTAATATATCACAATAAGAAGATTTTAAAGAGTTATAATTTATCTTTATAAAATTATTAGAATAGTAAGTAGATATATTTTAAAAAATCAAATAAATCATAATGAATTTTTAATATAATTATTAAAAATTTATTAGCAATTTAAATTTAAATTAGATTATAACAGTAATTTTATAATTTAATGGTAATATTATAATCTAATAATAACTTTATGCCTTAAACAGTAAAACATTGCAGGCAAATTTGCCTGCAATTTTACAAATTCAGTTCTTATCTAATTTTATGAAAAATGAAGTTATTCTAATAAAATTTTTTTTTGCAAAGAGCTTAAATCATAATAATTTATATGACAATAAATATTATTTATTATTATAAGAATATAGATTTACTATTGATCAAAAGTTATATTTTTGAAAAATTTTGCATTCAACTTTAATGATCTCATTTAAATTTGATTATAGCTATATTAAAGTTTAATAAAATATGTAGATTTTACTATGGGGAACAACTTTTATTATTATGATTTTTAATGTTTAGCAGTAGCAATTTGACTTTACATAGAACCCTAAATAAAAAAAGAATTATTTTTGTGAAATATAAGTTTAAATTATGTTTTAAATATATTTATTTAAACTTATTTTAGTAAAATAATTTGTTTTATTAATTTTTTTAATTTTAATAAATCATAATAACTGAAAAATTAATTTTAAATGATATTTATATATTTTTTTGTTTCTAATAATAATAATATAAATCTTATTAAGATAGATATAAATTTAATAAATAATAATACATTTAAATAGTTTAATAATATAAATAAAATAATATCAGTTTTTTCTACTAAACATATATCAAAAATCAAAATGATGAAAATTAATCCAATTTAGAACTTTATTAATGAAAAATATAAAATTAATAATAAGTATTATTATATTTTTTACTAAAACAATATCATTAAGATTATCTTAATAATTCCATTTTGATATTATAATAATATGATCAAAATAATATTAAAATAATTTTATTACAATATTATTATCACTTATTATTATAATATAAATATAATATTATAATAACATTATTTTAATATTTTATAATAAATATTAAAATAAAATTATTAAAATAATCTTAATGATATTATTAATAATATTATAATAATATTATTAATTTGATATTGTTTAAAATATTATTTAAATAATATTATTTAAAATAATAAAATTTTTATAAAGAACTTTATCACAAAAAATATTCAAAAGAAATAGGAATTATTATTATTAAAGAATACTATTTTAAATGCAATTATTCAAATATATTTTATTGAACTTCACTTTACTAAAAATTGCCAATTTTTTGAAATATTTTTATAGACCTAGATACAATAGCTTTCAAAACAATTGTGCAATTATTTTGTAAAATTTTTAAAATATATCAAAATATATTTAAGGTATTTTTGAAATTAAAATATTAAAATAATATTAAAGTTAATTATATTATAATAATAAAATAATAATAAAAGCATTAAAAAATTATTGTGATATTACTTTGAGATATTTTTATAGATCTAGATACAATACAATTACAAAATAATAACTAAAGTATAATAAAAATATTTTAATATATTAAATGTATTTTAGTAGTATTTTAAAATTATTACAAATAAGGTTGCTTGCTGAAATCTAGGGGTTTAGGCAAGATGGCGTTTTGCTGAAAAGCGAAATTTTGCTGAAACTATATTAAAGTTATATTAAAAAACTGGCGAAACTTTAGAGAAAGACGAAACTGCTAAAACTTATTATAAATGCTGAAACTGCCGAAACTTTGCCGAAACTATAATAAATCTATAGTAAAATTTTGATGAAAATAATCGTAAAATTTTGAAGAGGTTTAGACAAGCAACCTTAATTACAAAATTATTTCAAAAAATTGGCCATTTTTAGTAAAATTTATAGAAAAAAGGATGAAAATAAAATTATATTTCTAATAAAACTTTTATTAGATGGATAATTATAAATTAACAAGTATTTTTAGTTATTGAAAATGCAGATTTTATATATTTATTAAAGCATTGGATTAATAGTTTAAACTTTTAATAAAGTAAGTAATTTTTGAAAACATTTTAGATTTATATAATAATTATTAAAAGAAAATGCTATATACTTTATTAATTACAATGATAAATAAATTTGCAATTATAATTGACATATATATAGATTTTTTGTACAAATCTGAAGTATCTTACTAAGATTTTAAATAATATATAAATAGGTTAGTTACCAATTGGTTGGATTTTAATGAATTTTATATTATTAGATTTATCTTAATAAAAGGAATTTAATAATAGTAAAATTGCATTTTTAACACTGATATTAGCCAAATTATTAAAAATTAAAAATTTAACTATACGTATTTATTGAATTAAATAAAAAATATTTGAAGTCTTATTTTACTATCACTCTTTATTGGATTAATGAAGATTAAATTACATATCTATATCAAAAATTTTATTGAATATAATAGGATTCTGAATATCTTTCATATAACTCAAAGGTAATCGTTAAAGCTCTGAACAGGTCGGTTTGGTCCGGATTATAGACGGTTTGGATTAGAGCCGAAATCCGTAAGAACCGAACCGAAAAACCGGCAGTTCGGTTCAGTTTAATCCGATTTTTATAAAAATGCGAAAAATCGAATAGCCGGCCATCCATCTAGTGATCGTACAAAGTCGAGCCATATATCATTGGATTCATCTTGACGAGATGCATCGAATGGTGGTAAGATCATGTCTCTAGCANAAATAAAGATTGAGGTTGGTCATAGTTATCCTCTCTAGCTATTTCTTGTTGATAAGAATCATCCATGATCTAAAGAAAAAAAGAAAATATTTTAATTGTTAATAACTATCTTTAACTTTCATTTCTTATTAACTATTAAACTTACTTCTAAAAGCAGTTGCTGATCTTTAATTAATACAGTATCATAGCATAATGACTGAGCCATTTGATCGCGTTGCTTTTGAAGAATTTGAGGTGTTAAGTATTCACGTAAAATTTTATCAAGATTTGGAAAGTATTCATCCATTATAAAAGGTATTCTTCTTGTTGGAATTTCATTTTTACATTTACTTAATATTGCTCTTTTTGATTGTTGGTCAAATATCCTTTGAATTTCTCCAACAACATCTGTTAAATATGAAGACCTATTTAATTTTTCTTTAATAATTCTATTAGTTACTTCTACTTGTTGTGTGCTCTGAATTCCAGCAGTAAAATTTCGGTTAATAGCGAAACGTACACAACTTTTTTTACAAGGATATAAAACTCTTGTAAGATATTGTTCGCAAGCTGAAAATTCATTAATAAGCTCTTCCCATCCTGTTTCAAACTTTTTAGAACATAAAGAATTACGCCTGTCTCTTATACACATCTAGATGTGTATAAGAGACAGCCAATAGATAGCTTGCTAATTCCAATTATTATAAATCATTTAGCGTGGGTTAACGTGTGATCTATCGATGCTAAAGACATGATCTTACCACCATTCGACGCGTCTCGTCGAGAGGAATCCAATGATATATGGCTCGACTTTGTACGATCACTAGATGGCCGGCTATTCGATTTTTCGCATTTTTATAAAAAATCAGATTAAACTGAACTGAACCGCCAATTTTTCGGTTCTAATACCCGAACCGAACCGAACCGAATTTTGAGCCAGTTTTGGATCGGTTTCCCGGTTTAGTCTGAACTGTTCAGAGCTTTAGTAATCGTATAGTAAAATGCATTTTTAGCAATAATTTGGTTAATATTAATACTAAAAATGCGATTTTACTATCATTAGATTTGCTTTATCAAAATGAATCTAATAAGACCAAATTTGTTAAAATCTAATTACTGAATCGTTTAAAAACAGGATATGTATGATAAGAAAATTTAAAAATACTTTTGAAATACGTAATTCTGGCTAAAATTAACATATAAACTCTATGCAAACTTTAATGTGAATTGTATGAGAGATGTTTGGAGTTCTGATATAATATATAATATACTAAAATTATATTACTAAAAAAATGTTTAAAATAATTAATTATTATAATATAAAAATAACAGATAAATGCTAGTAATATAATTGTATTTCAACTTAAATATGATAATACTAATTTTGAATAAATTTATTATACAGTCAATCCTTGTTATAATAAATTCTAGGTTCCAGACCTCAACTTTGCTATAGGGCTATAGTGAAGATTTTAAGAGATTTGATTGGTTAATTTGTTATAGCAAGAGGAAATTTATTATAGTTGTCTGAAAAATTTACTATATTAAGGGATCGCTATATTAAGGTTTGACTGTATACTAATATATTAAATTTTACAGTTAGTAATAGAATATGAGTTATTGCAATTTAATTATTATATTTACTGGCTGATTACAATTTATTTTTTGAAGAATTTAAAAAAATTTTGAAATGAAAGTACTTTTCTTTTTTGTACTTAATTTAGATATGCCAATTTAGTAGTATATAATAATTGAAAAAATATATTAAATATGAAAAATAATTAATATTTTTATAAGAATCTTACTAATTTGCTCTCCGGATGAATATCACCCAAGTGATTTCACTTATAAATAATTTGCTAAAATCAGGTGATTTTACACGTATAATAAATTTAATGGCAAATCTTATTACATAATTTTTTATATTATATGACAATTATTATATAGTTTATTTCGTTTATTTCCTAATAAAAGAGCTTGTACATGCTATAAAAAAAACTAATATAATTTAGTTACCAATTTATTAAGCATTTGGACATTGTGAAGCATAATGATCTGATTGATTGCATTTTTTACAATGCTTTTCTCTTTTTTTACCAACTTGACTTTCTACAACTTCTTCATAATTTTTATTGGTAATGTTAATTATGTTTCGAATATACTTTGATTTTTTTCTTTGGGGTTCACCACATGACTTGTATCTATTAGGTTGTCTACCTTTATGTTGTACTCGTAATGGATCACCAATATGCATAGAAGTCAAATTTTCCTGTTGTTTGGATAATTCTGCTTTTGTATTCTCAATAAAATATTTTACTTGACCAACAAATTCATCAATCTTATCAGTTTGAACAGCCAAATCAAGAGCTTTTTTAGCATATCCCATGCCAAATCCATATTTTTGTTTAGGATCCTGCAATTGTACAACATTAGGTGTTTGCCTAAAATTCATAAGATGTTGAAATGAGGGTTGTTCTGACTCGTCAGCTAGAATATTTTCTTCATTATGAAATAATACTATATTTTTCTTACGCTGTTCAATATTATACTTATTATTGTTATACCAATGGTGTGAAATAAGTGATATATGAAATTGTGCATTAGTTGAATAAGACATAACACGGAAAAAGTGTCTACATATAATCCCTTTGTTAATAAGCCAAAGACAAGTACATAAATGTGAACCATCATTAAGAAGAATAATATATTGTAGTTCTGAATTTTGTCCACAATGTCTTGTTACTTTCCACACTTGTAGAATATTATTATAAGGTATATTCTCTACTAATAAAGAAAATAAAGATTGAGGTTGGTCATAGTTATCCTCTCTAGCTATTTCTTGTTGATAAGAATCATCCATGATCTAAAGAAAAAAAGAAAATATTTTAATTGTTAATAACTATCTTTAACTTTCATTTCTTATTAACTATTAAACTTACTTCTAAAAGCAGTTGCTGATCTTTAATTAATACAGTATCATAGCATAATGACTGAGCCATTTGATCGCGTTGCTTTTGAAGAATTTGAGGTGTTAAGTATTCACGTAAAATTTTATCAAGATTTGGAAAGTATTCATCCATTATAAAAGGTATTCTTCTTGTTGGAATTTCATTTTTACATTTACTTAATATTGCTCTTTTTGATTGTTGGTCAAATATCCTTTGAATTTCTCCAACAACATCTGTTAAATATGAAGACCTATTTAATTTTTCTTTAATAATTCTATTAGTTACTTCTACTTGTTGTGTGCTCTGAATTCCAGCAGTAAAATTTCGGTTAATAGCGAAACGTACACAACTTTTTTTACAAGGATATAAAACTCTTGTAAGATATTGTTCGCAAGCTGAAAATTCATTAATAAGCTCTTCCCATCCTGTTTCAAACTTTTTAGAACATAAAGAATTACGCATTGCTAAAAATTTAGCATGAAAGGGTTCAAATTGGTCTTGCAATTTTCCCTTAAGTTTCTTTCTTAAATTCAGTTCTATATAAAAGATACAATGAAAATGATGTATTTCTGGATAGTTCTTTTTTACGACTGATATCAAGGTCGGATCAGCATCAGAATACAAGATAATTGGTATAACATCACAAGAATTTTTTAATTCTTGTAGAGTCCACGAAAAAGTTACTTCTGTTTCATCTTCCAAAATAGCCGCTGCTACTATTAAATTTTTAAAATTATTGTCAACAACTATAACTAACATCAATATCATATCAAATTGATTAGTCCTTAATGTTGTATCAATAATTACAATATCATGATATTTTCCATAAGCATTAACTTGGTCTGGAGACATCCAAAACAGCGAATTTAATCTTCTTTCTCCAAGACTCCAACATTAAAGTGTGGTTTTATAATCCATCTTGGATCATCATTTTTTTTAAGATATAATTCGGTAAGCATTTGACATGCATCATTTTTACTAGGTTTTACTTGTTTTTTAAATTGTTGAATAGCATTACTTAAGTCTTTTTTATTAATTACTTTATCTGGAAACAAGGCTACTAAAAGGTTATATTACGTTGATATACCTATTTTTTCTTGAATTGTCCAAAATTTTACTTTTTCAAGCATTTTGTCAATTAGCTTTCAAAATCTTGGTGCTATTTCAGAAATATGGGGGTTCATCTCATGGTTATGTTTACCAATTATACTATTAATCTGAACTCCATTTGAAAATTTGGAAAATGCGAGATTAATGTGCCAAGGACATCCGATCATTTCAGAATCTCTATCCCTTCTATTTTCTGCTAAAATAGCCTTTTGAGCTTCATGAGTTTAGCCATATGTGCATTCATATGTTCAGCGTCTAACAATTGTATTATTATTTGGATCTAATACACGTCTTATTTTACGAAATTAAAATCCATTTTGCTTTGCATATTCATCAAAGTATGATTCGGCAAGTTCCTATGTTTCAAATTTCATTCCTTTATTTAACTTTAATAATCCATCTTCTTCTTTTTCATACTCGCTGTCATCATCATATTCTTTGCTGCAATAATCTTCTGAATAATCTTTCACTTCCATTTGAATTTCATTATCTGTTTATGATTTTTAAAGAATAGATCAAAAGGTTATGTTAGAATCATATCAGATCAGGAGAATTATACAATAAGAGACAAATAACAGGTTAGAATCAAATGATCATAACATTCAATTTTCTTTCTGATGATCGCTTTGATAATCTATAATATCTATCATACTTTTATTTACTATTTGAACGTTGCTATCTATTTATAATTTTTAAGAAATAAATTAGAAGAACACGTGAGAATTAACTATCAAATTAGAGGAATTATCTGAATAAAAGGTCAGATTCATTTGATCACAATACTCACTATTTTCTTTCTGATGATTTTTCACCATACATTCATTTTCTATTTGGATTCTATTATCTTTTTCATAATTTTCAAGGAATAGGTCAGAAAAATCATATGAAAAATCAAGCATCAGATTAAAAAAATCGTATAAAGAGTTATGATAAGAGTTGAATGATTAGTCAGAATCATTATATGAAGAATTATAATAAGCGTTGAATAACAAGTCAGAATTATCATTATATAAAGAATTATAAGGAAAGGTTGTAGTATCTTTCATTGTAAAGTTTTGCATTAAAGTCTATGTAAGTAATACACTAGAAGCAATGAGTGATATTAATTTTATCTCGCAAACAATTTTTTAGAAACGCGAAACAAGCGAAGTTTTTTAACGAAAACAGAAAAAGTAGCGTTTGGGAGAGAATTTTTAAAATGGGTGGCTTTGATTACATCATTCATAATAATAATGGGAACGATCAAATGTAAACAATTATATCATCGTGTAAAATTAATGTAATCAGGTGATATCGCCTGAATTAAATTTATTCGTATCAAAATTATTAATAAAATTATAGGTGATTTCACCTAAGTTAAATCACCCATATCAAATTTATTAAATTATAATAAAATTAATAGGTGATATCACCTGAGTTATATCACCTCTGATTAAAATTAGTTATAATCTAAAATAATAATAATAAAATAATTTTTTATAAAGTTTTTTTAAATATTTTTAATATTTTTTTTATTTTTTTTTCTTTATCCTTGTGTATTTTAATATTTGTATACTGTATAGTATAATGTGATATTTATCTGAGTATTCAAAAATTTGATATGTATACTTAGCAAAAAATACTGAGTTTTGCTGTTCATAATTTTGCGAAATCAGACCAAAATTACTCTATACTGAACTCAGCTAACAATATACTAAACTCAGCTAGGCAAGTAGAAAAATAACTTTTAAATTTGTAAACTTAAAATTTAAATTAAAAACTAATTTCATAAATTAGTTAAAAAAAATAATTATTTTAAATATATAAAATTAATTTTAATTTAAGGTAATTTAATTTAACCTGGATAATTTAATCTATTAATAAATTTTATATAATCATATAGGCTGATTTGTCAAAGAGTTATTGATTGATTTTCATAATTTTTGTTACTTAAAATTGTTTTGTAATACCAAAAAATCATCTGATTGATGATCACTTGACTAAATAATAAGTTGAACAAAAATTTACATTTGCGAAACTTAAATTATTAAATGTAAAAGAGCTGTGAAAAAACCCATTTCACTAATAAAAAACCCATTTCTCATATATATGGAATTTTTAACATATATTATTAAAAAGTAAGTATATTTTAATAAAATATAAAGTAAAATAAAAATTTATATAGCCTTAGTAGCTATAAATGTTTATAAAAGTATAATAAAAATATCATATAAAA